TCGCTCCAGATTCTTCACGTACTTCTAATTCCCCATAACTTCTCTAAACAATCCTTTCTTTCTCCCCATAGGTTAACCCCCCAAGTTTCCTATCTCTTCAGTTTTACAAGATTTTAAGAAACACACATACATGATTAATTCACATTATGCAAAGGACTGTTCTGATCACAACCTTTCATAGGATTTACCATTCTGAATCTCTTCAGAAAAATGTGCTATACATTAGTATAGCAATTAGTAGCTCTTTATTGCTCATTAAACAGAGAAAATCTATTTCTAAATACTCTATTTCAATCTAGCCCAAATATACATGCCTTTTTGAATATATTATTTTCTCAGCATAACCCCTATAAAAATATTGTAATCATTTCTATTGAACCTAAATAAGAATAGAAATAAATCATTTTCATATTTAACTTAGTAATAAAGAGCTAGTTATTTCCACTTGTTGTTCCTACATCATAGGAATTTCAACTTTTGTTGCTCATTGGATAATCTGCACAAGTCCAGATTTGACACAATCAGTATTTCCAACTGATTTCTGGATTCCTGCCCACTGAAGGGTGATGAAAGGGACAGTTTGGCTAATCTAGAACTGTGAATGCTGGTACATTTAATCAATTACAATCATAACTTTGGGTTTCAGTTTGATTTTGTGCTTAAATAGATTCAATTTTTATCAATTGTTGTAACTAATGAAGAGACCAGAAGGATTTTGGCTTCTCAAAAGCATGAATGATTAAGTAAAATTATTTACAGGTTGTTGCTTTTATCTGGCATTGTCACATTTATTGACTCAAATGAGGATGTTAGATGCACCATCAGGTCATGATGCTTCTCTGGCCTAGATCAGAAAAGATAAGAAAACTCCAATCTGGGAAGATCAAGCATGGGTTACCTTGCATAAATGTTCAGACATGTTGTCCTGAGTTCTACAATTATTCTTAATAGATAATATATTCTGAATAGATAATAGATAATATTTTCTTCTTTTTCAAATCAAATACATAGGTTCCATTTTATCTTTTCTGCAAAGGCCAATGTTTTAAAAATGGTGGTTAGAAACTAGTTATTCAGGATGCAAGGGAACAAGGGGAGGCACTGGGGGAAAAAATGATGACATTATGCTCTGTCCTAAATACACCACCACCATGAATACCACTCTTTGCAAAATTATAATGCAGCAATTATTTTCAGAAAAATAGAAGGAAGCCTCATAGAATAAAGAAAGGGCATCAGGACAAGGGAGAAGGGGAGGGATAGGGGAAGTTCTGGGGAATTAGATTGACCACTTATGATATGTGCATATGCAAATATGTCACAGTGAATTCCGCTATTATGTATAATTGTAATTTACCAATAAAAAACATAAAAAATTTCAGGGGTGATTTCTCAACAACAGCAGACATAGTAGCTCTAGACCTCACTAACAACGACTATCAAATCCAAACTTAGTAACAGAGATTCAAGTTTTCTATAAGGAATTTATGATCAAATTCTCTTTTCCTTCTATTTTTTCTCTTAAGAAAGACTACCTGGGCTGTGTTTACTATTATTTAAAGACAAAAAATGTGAAATAATATACATCTACTCTGCCCTCATTTTTAAAAAGAGTTATTTTCGATGATGTGAGAGGGAAAAAAAAAGAGAAATGTGTCACATTAGATTGGGTAGAGAGAGGTGATGGGAGGGGAGGGGAGGGGAAGGGGGGATAGGAAGGGCAGCAGAATAAAATAGACACTAGTATTGCTGTATGTATATACGTGGCCATATAACCAATGTGATTCTGCAACCTGTACACTTGGAAAAATGAGAAATTATACCCCATTTGATTCAAATGTTAAAAAAAACAGTTATTTTCATCAGTGTTTAGCACAGATAAAACACCAGGAACACAACCCTTAATTTTCTATGGCTCAATCAAAATCAAAGAGCTCCACTTTGAGTCCTTCTTTAAGGCCCTGTTTGAGTTGGGCTGGGCTGCATAGCATACACATGACAATTACCAGTCAAACTGCTCACCATCTAGCTTTATGAGGTCATTATGCTATATCTAGATATAATTCCTGATGAAATGTATTTAACTCCTAAAGGAGTCCCTAACCAATTCTATGCTATTTGATAAATTATGGCCACAGAAATGGTGCTGGGAATGTACACTAATTGCTTCTAAAATTAAGCCTACACTGAGACTAATCACTCTACCTTTAACTCATCTACCATTTCTTTTTAGTCCCTTCTCTAAGATAGACAACATTTACCAGATGCAATGGAGAAAAAAGTGAAAACAGCCTCTTCTCAATTATTTTATACGAGGGTACTAAATTACATCATGCCCAAACCAATGCATAGATAACGGAAATCTTCTACAAAATACATTTTCCTACTTAAGTTAGCAATCATTACCATCAAATGAATATTTTGAGAGTTACATCTTTGGCGGGTAATCATGATTTGTCTCAGTGCGAAGAAAATCTGGATGACTTTGTTCCCTAGATTCTCATCCTGTACAGTTGCCTAATTTCTGGTGTATGTGCACTGTGGATTTCACCATCCTCTAATGAAAAGGCATTACATAAATTCCCTCTGGAAATTAAACAGAAAAGACATGCTTTTACAAACTTGGCATATTTCTTGGAATTGATGCCTACTGACACAGTGCATTTTGAACCAATTACTCTAATGGTTCTCAAAGAATGTGTTTGAATATCATCCCTCTGCATTATTCTCGAGAGCCAGTCTTTATGTACAGTGACTATGTACATGCTTAAACAACAGATGCCTTAGATGGAAGATGAGCCTGTCATAAAGTATCTGCCACCTGCTTTTGCCCATCATTATTCCCTTAATAGCTTTCTACCTGTGGGCCTATTGAGCCACCAAAGAGAAGTGCCATTCCCCAAAGTACCACCATGAAAGCAATACTTATGAGGTTGGCATCAGAAAGCCAGCTGAACAGCATTTCCCAGTACACCGCTGCAATATGTCATTTTTGAAAATGCCATGTTAGTGGAGATATGACTTTGGGAATTGACTTAATAACAATAATAAAAATAAAAATGGCTGGCACTTAGCAAGGAAAGTGTCTTTCATCCCGAAGGGCCCACAAGTGCTTCAGATTCAGAAAAGCAGTCAAACCTAAGAAGGGTGACAGCACTCAGCCCAGCCATGAAAGCTGGGAAAGTGATTGTCAAAGAGGAAAGGACAAGCTTGCCTCTCAAAGATGTATCATACGCTTTTTATTTTCCACGTGGAGTGGAGTGATATCACCTTAGATTTTCATCTCTTCAGAATAGATGACAAAAATAGACTTTTGTGTCCCACTCTAGGTAGAAACTATAGAGTAGTAAAGAAAATTGACCTTGCAGCAATGGAGCTCAGATTTAGAAAGTATCAAAATGGATCCAAAGCACCATAGCACACTTTCTGACTCTCAGGATCTCACTGCAGCCACCCTCGTAGAGAGACATACTGTTAAAATATGAGCTAAGTGGGTTTCTACTTTTAAGAAAGAGCGGTAATGAAGAATGAATTGCTGGTAATTCTGGCCCTCACAGACCTTGTTCACAGAAAAGGTTTCATCACGATGGCTAATGGCTTTTTGATCATGCTGAATGAAACTACCATGGTGGGACTAGCTGAGTTCTTAGATTTCATGTATCACATTCATGTATAATGTTGGCCATGGGGACATATTCTCCAATTCATACCAAGAAACATCAGTGCACAAATGGTTGTTAAGAATATTATTATACTGGGCCGTGGATAGTCAGTTATGTTCTTTTTAACGTAAGCATGCCATAAGCTCTAATCTTGGCAAATTCAATCTGAAATCTACCTTCATTGAGTACGTACTACCATAGTATTGAGATGACTTAATCAGTTTGTCCTCTGGCTCTGTTGATAACCACAAACTAACTACATTAAATAAATTCTTTGGTTAAAGTTTTACTTCTTCCAATCGATTTTATGACTTCAGGATTATCCCATTATTTTCAAGAAATGATAACTTGCTTTTCTTCCCTGCCGAACCTCTATCTCATAAAACCTTTAAAAACCTACCCATTCATGCCCTTTTCCTTCCAAGGATAAATTTTCTTCATGGAAATGTGACACTGACACACTGGTAATGGAATGGGCATTTTAAGTGATATTCCTCCTTGAGTGAAGTATGCATGAGGCCTACACACTAGTTCATTTGTTGTCTGTCTGTCTCTCTGCACCTCTCTCTCTCTCTCTCTCTCTCGCTCTCGCTCTCGCTCTCTCGCTCTCTCTCTCTCTTCACAGGAATTGTCCTTCTGGAATTGAAAAAAAAAAAAAACGCTAACTCATATCCTTTGAATGAAATTCTCACAGCACAGAAACCTAGCATTACCCTGTAATAGCTCCAAACCTGTCTATCCCTGGCCTTACCCAAGACCTACTGAGTAAAAATGTTTGGAGCTAAGAACCCATATTTTCAAAACTCCCCTGTAGTGTAATATGTTGCTTAAAAATTTAATACAGCTACTCATAATACACATTGAAATGACTGAGCTTTACACACAGTGAAAGTTTTTCTTTTGTTTGTTTTTACCATTTTTCTCTAGAAGTTAGGAGGTAGGCAATGTCTGTCCAGATAGAGTTCTGCCAAGTCAGTATTCTCCTTTCTGCTCTGCTATTTTAAATGAAGGCTTCCAACTTTAAGGTTTCAAAATTACACTTCAATATCCTTGTTTCTTTTCAGGCAATAAACAGAATAAAAAAGAGATGTAAGAAAAACAGAGCACTTTCTAGTTGAGGGATTTCCCTTTAAGCAATCTTCCCAGTATCCTAAATTATTTAAACATCTATCTCATAGCCCAGAGTTTACATAAAAGGCTTTACCTAGAATGTATGGTCTCATACCTGAACATCTTGCCAACCTAGATAGAATTGGTTGCAGGGACACAGGACTAAATCAATCAGTCACTCCAAGTGAATTTGGGCTGACTAAATAAAGACACAGACACAGAAATTACCTTTTTCTTTGGGTTCAGTGACCATTCCTCAGCCGCAGCTCCCACAAGGGGGGCAAGGAAGGCAAGAAAGAGAAGGAGCACATAACCTGGGTTTTATTAATGCAGGGAGCTAATTCATGGAACATTCTATCCAAAAAAAAAAAAAAAAAAAAGGGCAAAGGGTAGATTTACAACAAACAAATGGGTATATAATTCAACCCCATCAGGTGACACTCACTCCTGGAGCTGCACCTTTGTTATCTGTGAAGGTAAAGTCCAAATTTCATTGCAATTGGTGCAACACCAGTTCAGTACCTCTTTACTCAGGACTTAAAGGTGGGTACATAGCTCCTGTCCAGAGCAGCTCCCGACAACTGGTTTCTGTTTCCAGGGAAGACGGAGTAAACAGATACTATGCATCTCTGGATGAGCAACTAATAACTGCTGCTTCAAACAGATTCAAAGATTGGTACTCAATCTGATGTAACTAATAGTAATTAGTGAGTTTTGTACCATAAATTATAATAGATGAATCAATAATACTATAACTAATTAATAGTATCCAGCACTAATTGAACATTTACTATTTGCAAGTGAATTTTCTACCATAAATTGATATGCAGATTAATCAACAATACTGTAACTAATTAATACTAACCAACACTAATTGAACACTTACTGTTTTGCCTAAAAGCTTTATATGACCAGTGTCATCATGTAATCCTCACCCAAACATGTATGCTTTATTATTAGTCTCATTTAAATTAAAATGAAACAGACACACAAGGTTTAATAACTTGACTCAGATCACACAGCTAGTAATTTTTAGCAGTCAGAGCCTTGAGTAGCCATCAATCCACACAGCTTCATTTATTTCCTGATTACACACATTTTTTCTCAAGATAGGTACTGCAAAATTTTGAGTATGTTTTATATAGTTACAACTAACACTGAGCAAATTTATCACATTTCTAGTCACCAGCTATTTGCTGCCTTTGCAACCTTCATTTTGAAACCTGAAAAAAAGGCAAAACTGTAATTTATCTTGATACTGAAATTCCCCTAAGAAAAACTGACAACCTTACAGAGGTATTAAGATATTTCCATGTCAAAATACTTTTTATCCCACAGAAAATTCCTTTTCTAAGAAAGTCCCTAAGGTGAATCTGCCAAAGTTACTTAGGTTTGTAATGCATGGTTTCTCACCACTCCCACATTTCTGAAATCTTTTTTCATAGATCTTGAAGATGGATCTGAATATAGTAGAATTGGATGTAACTGAAAAACCCAATAGATTCAGTCCACTGTGGCTAGTAAATGAATTTTTATAAGAAAATATAGAGAAGTACAAGTCCAGGATCACTCACACAGAAGCCTTCACATTTGCAGTAGGTGAAACCCAACAAATATTTGATTACATCAAGTCTCTATGACCTATGAGAATGTTCTACAATGCTAGATATTTCACCATCAGTAAAAGCTTTGTGAGATCTTAAGCAAATTGTCTAACTTTTTGAAACACAGGGTAATCAATTCTGAAAAGGAGGTGGAGATACAGGAGCCTATTATGCTTTGGATATGACGTGTCCTCCAAAAGCTCCTGCTAATACAAGAATATTCAGAGGTGCAATAATTAGATTATGAGAGTTATAACCTATTCAGCTCATCCTTGTTTAAATAGACTGGGTGATAACTATAGACAGGTGGGGCATGACTTGAGTAGGTGGATCACTAGGGGCATGCCCCATAAGGGTATATATTCCCTGTGATGCTTTCTCTATGCTTCCTGATCCTCCGCCCCATGAGCTGAGAAGCTTTCCTCCCTGAGCCCTCCCCGCATGATGTGCTGCCTCACCCTGGGCCTAGAGCAATGGAGTCATCCCTTGTTGGAAAAACTTCTGAAACCATGAGCCCCAAATAAAATTTTCCTCCCTTTAATTGTTCTTGTCAAGTATTTGGGTCACAATGATACAAAAGCAGACTAAAATAGTTTTCTTAAAGTTCCACAATTCTGTGTTTCTATGACTTTACCTTACATACTTTTATATTCTACAGTAATCTAAATACCATCTTAGAATAGTAGGGGCTCAATCCGTTTGAATTGCTGGCTAGAGGTTTAGATGGGAGAAGGATGAATACAGATAGATGAAAATATATTTATACACACGTATACACAAAGCAGTTTTCCTGCCTCAGAAGAAATGCATACTTGTAATTGTTATTATTTAATCCTTTAACATATGATTTATTTTCAAAACAGCTCTGTAATTTGAGAATTTTCAAACACAGAAAAATCACATAGCCATCATTGAACTTGGAAGCATTACCCTGCTATAGAAACTGGCATGTTCCACCCCTATTGAATTGCTAATAGTACACCTATCTTTTGTATTAATTTTACCTGTTCTGAGAATCCTAATGGAAAAATAAATTCCTGAAAACCTAAATTTTTATGTATCATTTGTCCTCTCAAGGATTATTAAAGGAGCATGCATGTGTAGTCCTATAGATAGACCATGTAAAATGGTAAAGAGACTAATAATGATTCAGGAGAGGAACGTAGAACAAATTCCTGCATCAGATCTTTATAACTTTAATATTTTACTTGACTTAAATTTCAGCCACTAAGCACAGCCATATAAAATCAACTTCCACATTCAATCTATGTGAGCGTGCACACACACACACACACACAGTATGAACTTTTTAACTTATCTACCATTTGCAATTGACCATATTTCTGTTCCTATTTATCACCAAGCAGAAAACAAAAACTAAGTTTTCTATGTGCACACTTTTTCCTTTTCTAGCTTTTCTACATCCTTTTCTATCTACCCTTTCTTGAGATGCTTTTATTCACTTACCTACATTTTGGTTAATATTAGTTAACAATTAAAGCAAGCCTTTGTCTCCAATGAATTTAATCAGACACATTCTTTTACTATTTCTAAGTTATTTTTAATTTACTCATCTTTTCTCCATAAACACATACAGATTAACACAATATCAAACACAATGGACTTGGATTTATATTTTATTATAGATCTTGCTTCCCGGTTCACCCTATTTATATTTCCACTCAGTAGATATCTTTAACATTTCCTCAAGAATCATTTCTTAGGAATACCAGTTTAATTTAGCAACCTATTAGGTAGAGTAAGAATAGCTGAAGGAAAGCTTATATTTAAAATGCATCAGTTTCAGGTGGATCAAAGATAAAATCAAATGACAAGGTCAAATCGTAAGGCACTCAGCAGGTAATACAGGTGAGTAACTCCCATGACACCTGTGTAGAAATGATTTCTAGCCAGTCACATAAGTTATGAATAATAAACCAAAAAATTAATGAATTTGACTAAATGAAAATTAAGAATTGCTCATTAAAGATAGGTAAAACAAAGGCAACACAAGGGCAGAAGATGGTTGCAAGACAAGGATTAAGAAAGAAAGTATTTACAAAAATATAAAAATACTTTATCAGTTAAAAAATTTTTTCAAATACCTCATGTGTCAGTTAGCTTTGTATCACTGTGACCAAAATATCTGACAAGAACAATTTAAAGGAGGAAATGTTTATTTTGGCTCACAGTTTCAGAAGTTTAGTCCATGGTCAGCCAACTCCATTTCCATGGGCCCAAGGTAAGGCAGAACATTTTGGTAGAAGAATGTAACAGAGGAAAGCTGTTCACCTTATGACAGCCAGAAACCACACAACTTGAGAGAAAGGAGGCAGGGATAACATAATCCTACAAGAGTGAGTACATCTTCCAGCCACACCCTATCTGCCCCAAATAATGACCCATTAATCTATTCAAATTATTAATACAGCAAATGGATTAATCTATGAATTAGGTTACTACTCTCATTATCTATTCACTTCACCTCTGAACATTCCTGCATTGTTTCACACAAGAGCTTTCAGGGGACACCTCATGTCCAGACCATAATACCCCAAAACAAAAAGGGGCAAAAGACATGCACAGGAACATTTAAAAAGTAGAAATTCAAATAACTCAAACATTTAAAACTTGATTTAACCTCATTACTAATCAGAAAAACATCACCTTTGTTTGCAAAGAGCTACTACTAGACACTCATCTGAATGGTGAAATTCTAAGGTGAAAACAAATGTTGATAATGTAGAGCAAATGTCACTTTTTTTTTTTATTTTTTTTATTGGTTGTTCAAAACATTATAAAGCTCTTGACATATCATATTTCATACATTAGATTCAAGTTGGTTATGAACTCCCAATTTTACCCCAAATACAGATTGCAGAATCACATCGGTTACACATCCACATTTTTACATAATGCCCTATTAGTAACTGTTGTATTCTGCTACCTTTCCTATCCTCTACCATCCCCCCTCCCTCCCCTCCCATCTTCTCTCTCTACCCCATCCACTGTAATTCATATCTCTCCTTGTTTATTTTCCCATTCCCCTCACAACCTCTTATATGTAATTTTGTATAACAATAATTTTATATGTAATTTTGTATAACAATGAAATAGAAAAAGAAGGAGCTCTGCCAAATTCATTCTATGAGGCCAACATCACCCTGATTCCGAAACCAGACAAAGACACCTCAAAGAAAGAAAACTACAGACCAATATCTCTGATGAACATAGATGCAAAAATCCTCAATAAAATTCTGGCGAATCAGATACAAAGGCACATCAAAAAAATTGTGCACCATGATCAAGTAGGATTCATCCCTGGGATGCAAGGATGGTTCAATATACGGAAATCAATAAATGTTATTCACCACATCAATAGACTTAAAAATAAGAACCATATGATCATCTCAATAGACGCAGAAAAAGCATTCGACAAAGTACAGCATCCCTTTATGTTCAAAACATAAGAAAAACTAGGGATAACAGGAACTTACCTCGACATTGTAAAAGCAAATGTCACTTTGATAAACTGCTGGCAGGAATGTAAATTGGTCCCATCAGTTTGAAAGATAGCTGAATACAATAGTAAAATTAAACATTCTCAATGACCCATTTCACTCCTAAGTGCCTCATAGAAACTACTATATGTGTGAATTAAGATATCCACAAATATGTGTGCTTATACATTGTATAAATGTAAAGAGCAACATTTCTTATAGCCAAACTGGAAA